AGCGGTTTTTTAAACGGCGGTAACAAAACCGCCGTTAAAGATACATTAACGGCGGTATTAACGGCGGTTTCGTTACCGCCGTTAATAGTATCTTTAACGGCGGTAACGAAAACTGCCGTTAAAAAAACCGCTGGTAATGCCCTGTTTTGGCATAGTGATCCAGAGAAACATTTGAGCAGAGGACCCATAAATGGTTTGCTTGATTCTCATAACAATTGAGACAGTTTCCCATGCCCAACTTTGGTCAATCCTGATGGCTTCTTCCTAAGGCATCAACCCATAACTCTGTGGAACCACAGTATAACTCTAGTATTTGTCCATGTTCAAATTATTTAAAGTTCAAAAATAATAATCTAAGATTGAAAGAGCTATTAGTGTTTGTGTTTGGTGCAAGTGTAGTGCATGCACGGATGCAAGTCTTAACTATGTTCGGTGCAAGGACAAAGCATGTGGGGTTGTGCACACTTGTCACATACACCTGTGCAAACACAAGTAACACTTGTACCCAATAAAAACTTGCAGCAATGCTGGAAGGGGCTGTGGGGTTGTGACAGAGGGATTGGAGGGGTTTGGGGGGTTTTGGTGGTTATGGTTTAGGCCGATTTGGTTGTTCAGTGTGGTGGGAAGAGGTTGGGGCAGAGAGGAGGGTGGGGGAGGGCCTAGGGTTGTGGGGAGTGGTTGATGGCTGCAAGAGCTGGTGGCCAGAGTTGCATAAAAAGAAGAGGGAAGATAGGAGAAGAAAGAAGATCAGGCATTTTCATAAATTGAAAGAGTGATTTCCACCTCTTTGTTATTAGTTTTCTAACTTCCATTTCAATTATAATTTATAAAAATAAAATAAAATAAAATAAAACTCATTAATTTGTAAATTTATACCCCAAATGCCACTGAAGTTATTATCCCTAAAAATAATAATCTAATATTGTGTTTTGTTTAAGGGATTAGGCTATGGGATTGATTATGCATTTTAACCAATCCTTGAATCTATGTTTGTATACAAAAGTAAACCTCACAATACCTACAGATTGTATATCCCCAATATTGAGAATCTCATAGGGAAGACGTGTACAAAATGGAGAGATTAAGAGAGATCTAGGGGATTAAAATGTCAAGATACTCTCAAATTATGGTCATTACACCATGTAGTCTATATTCAGTGATTCAAAATAAACAAGGACCAAGATGTGATTTTACAAATCCCCTTCCTAATTTAGGACATTTCAAACGTGTGACAAGATACATAATCCCAGGGATATTAAGCTTTGTCTGTCCAGGAAGAGATTACTAAAATTGTGAATACAGCCATTAAAATTGTGATATTAAAAATTTTAAATAATAATAAAAAAATTGTTAGAAGAGAAATAAGAGAGTGGAAAGTTGTATCATACCTCATATAATAGTAAGACATGAACTCAGGCATCCCACTCAATAAAAAAGTGTCTCTCAACTACTAGACTACGGGACCTGTAAATTTAACAATTTCCATTCATAGTCTTGTATAAGCCACACCTGCCACATGCTTCAGTGAAATCACTCTTATGCAGTGAATGAGGTTAGAACTTTGGTTTGGTAAACAGGAAATGAATTCACATTGAAAATGGAATCACCATTTATCAATTTGAAAGAATGGTTATTCCATTGGTAGGCCAAGGAATAACCATTTCGTTCCTGCCTAAAACATTCTAGCGAGCCAAACAGTAAAAGGGTGAGAAAGATGAACCTTGAACTGGGTATTGAATTCTAACCATGCAAAAAGCAGATTGGCAGAACCTCATAGTATGGCCTCAAGTTTAATATATCTCTGCAGGAAAACTTTAGAAAACAAAAAAAATAGGAAGTCTCTTAACTGAGCTTTGCAAAGAGGAGGGCTGTTGAAACAAGTTCTATCCTTGAATGCATGCTTTAACTGAGAGCAAGCTCTATCCATGAATGTATTCTCCTTACCAAGGTTTTGAAAAGCGGTTGCGGTCGCCGTAACGGTGGCGGTGACGCGATTGCGGTTGCGGGGTGTAAAAGACGTAGTGTAACGGTTGCGGTAACCGGAACCGTGAATTTTTTTTATTTTTTGCACAATTTGAAAAAACCTTACCGATGCGCATATTTTTTTTCCATGATCATATTTATTGGGTTAAAAATAAATATTGATCAATTTTTGTAAATTTTCAGGTATGATCCAATATATTTCATATTTTTAAATCACTATAAACTGAGTTTTTAACATTTTATTTTAATAATTAATGACTTTATATTTTATAAAAAATTAATCACTAACTATTATATATAAGATAAATAATGACAAAAGTAAGAGAATAAATAAGAATTTAAATATATATATATATACATATTTTAACCAAGCCAAATAGATAATGACCACACTTATTATTATTATTATTTTCAAACAATATATAGATAGACACACACAAATAAAATGGTTTAGTGATAGCAGCTGAATGGAATAACATAGGTCTTATAGTTTCAACAAATCAATAGCATGTTCTTCATCTTCCCTCTTCTCTCTCTCTCTATCTCTTACTCCTCTATTTTCTCTCTTTATCTTCCCTCTTCTTTCTATCCCTCTTCCCCCATTTTCAGCTTTTTTTTGTGTGTTTTTTCGAAAGAAACAGTTTGGAACCGTTACGTAACGGTGCGTAACAGGCCTTTATGGCTGTTACAGCACTGTTACGACCGCAACGATAGCCGCTAATGCCGACACACCTGTGAATCTCAATCACACTGCAAAAGCGGCCGTAACGGGTGGCGGTAACCGCTAAAACCGTTACGTAACGGCGTTACGTAACGGTTGCGGCCGCTTTTTAAAACCTTGAGTATTTCGGAAGAAGAAACCGGAAGGAGATGAGATGATCGAATGATATAGAATAATAGAATCCTAATTTTATTTGATTTCATGTTTTATTTATTACAAAAGAACTCCAGATTTTTATAATTTTTTAAAATAGACACAAAATTGCTCCGGTACCCTTTCAATTTGCAAATCGACTAACCCCTTGCGATTAGATTATTATGGCCTCCCTTGTCTCTCCAATCTCTCTTCTTTGGTCCAAGATTATGAAGATCTTGTGGCTACCATTGGTTCGCAGCCCTTTCAAAAATGGTGTTGTGTACATCATACCCGTACCCAGACACTGCTTTATCGACAGCCTCATGCACTGGGTTGCCATTTTCTTTAATCTTATGAAGCTCTTGAACTTGCTGAAGAATGGATATCCCATTAACCATCCGAAATTGAATATATTTGTCAACTTTGAGATCGCTTCGTTCCCAAATTTTCATCATAAGCTAATTTGAGCTCCTCCCAAATTGCTTTTGCACTCTTAGTTCTCTTCAAGTATTGATCAAATATATGATCAGACAGAAAGTTCAAGATACAGTGAGGACAAATGCACTCATCGTCTATTGACTTTTGACAGCAGCTTTTGCTTGAGAAGTTTCTCTAAAACTTGCTTTTGGGCTTTTGCCAATGCTCAGGCATGCTAAGTAAACACATATAAGCAATCTTCAATTGCTTCAAAAATAAAGTCTATCTGGTGCACCCAAGAATGGTAAATTTTTCCATCAAGACGGATGGTCTTAACTGGAATGAGTCCTTGAGGGGCAAAAGCAGTCGCGGAATTAGACCTTTCTGCTTCAGTTTGTTTTGTCTCCATATAAATGATTTATTGAGCAACAGCGGTTACTGAATTTCACACATCTGCCTCACTTTGCTCTTCAGATCTACAATGCATTAATTCGACAATTGAAATCAGTCATCAACGGATAAGAAAACCATTAAAAACCTTTATTTGAACCAGCTTGATTTTCTTACACAACAACTTTCAGTGCCTAGTTTAGTAGGTTGAGTTTAAAAGCAGCACATCATTTTAACACCAAGTGCCAACGCGCTAATCAGTGATTGACACAATCACAGATTATATACATAATACTAAAAACAAAAAGATTCTATGTACTTTAATTTCTATATTCAACACTCCCCCTCAAACTGGTGTGACGATATTCAACGATCGCAGCTTGACAATGGATGACAGGAAGAAGCCAGAAAAAACTCAACAGTTAGTCCAAATAAATTCTACCGAACAAATCTGATAGTCCACTAAATAAAAAAGGCCAAAAAGTGCTTAATACATCAGCACCACACCCTAGAAAGGGGGGAAAAAAAAAAAAGGGACTGAACTGTCCTAGAAACACCCTGGTCAGTAGCCAACAAGACCCTTGTCGACACCAGATGCCAAAGCTAATGTCGAGAGATAGTTTATGGTCGTGCCGGATCGTTGTAAAAATTGGTCAGAACTAATGTCGAGATAGTTTAAGGTCATGCTGAACCATTATAGGAACTGATCGGAATCAACGTCGAGACACTTTACGGGGTCATGCCGAACCGTTATAGGAACTAACCGGAATCAATGTTGGGACAGTTTACGGGATCAGGCCGGTCCGTTGTAGGAACTAACCAGAATTAATGTTGGGACAGTTTAAGGGGTCATGTTGAACCGTTGTAGAGACTAACCGCAATCAATGTCGAGATAGTTTAAAGTAGTCATGCCAAACCGATGTAGAGAATTGAATGTTGAACCAGTAAGCGTGACACACACATAACTTATCACGTGCTACTGAACGATGATAGCAACAGATGACTGAGTGCGCCAAGAGGCGGCTTATTAGAAAGTGTGCTAGGGGGAGGGGCTTAGGTGGTGCGCCAAGGGGACTTGGATTGTGCGCGAGAGGGGGCGACTTGGGTTGTGCGCTAGATGGGGCCCCTTAGGTGGTTCACATGGTATATCACCGTGCTCACTATGATATAGGTATAATACCCTCTCTCAAACTCAAATAGAAATAAACTGGTGAATAGAGGAAGAGATCACCATGAAGTGAAACTAAAAGAAAATATGGCAATGGAGATCCAGTGGACAGCCAAGGCAAGGCTGCTGCCTGCCGGTGAAGTAAAATTACTAGGTACTTAAACTAACTCTGATACCAAAAAAGAATGAAAAAAATTATTTGGCTTACCCATGAATGGAGTAGAGGCCATATATATATAATAGATTCATGATATAATTTAGGAAATCATACAAATAAGGAAACGATATAAATAAAGAAACAATATTAAATCAGTGATTGGCACAATCACAGATTATATACATAATACTAAAATAATAAGATTATATGTACTCTAATTTCTATATTCAATAGATCTCGCCTAATCTTCAATTCCATCTTCGTAGTGGCAGCTTCTATATCAGGCACACTTTCCCTGAAGGCTGAAAATTGTTCAGTATGCAAGCTAATTCCTGATCACATTGTAGACTGAGCATGATGAATACCAAAGCGATGAAAACAAAATAACCATAATAATACAGATTAACAGTGAAGAAATCAAACAGTATGTCTGAGTAATGTATGTTGCAACGTGCAACCAAATATAGTATTTTGCCCTATGACTTATTTTCCCAAATTGGGCATGAATGGGACCACACCAACTCATAACATGTTTAGTGTTGAGACTGAATCAATCTTATCAGACAAGTGGACAGAATTTTGAGAGGGAGTACAGAAAACGAGTATGTTTTCCATCCAAGGCTTTTGATCAAAGAAGACACAATATCTATGTTGTCTAGTAAAACATAACCTACACTCACTTGTGGAGCCGTCTTCACTATGAGAGATAAATGATTACCAAAAAAAGAACTGAGAGTTTGAATACCCAAACCCGAACCACTTGCACATCCACCACCTCACACCCAAATGACACACTTTCTCACCCAATCTTTTGGCTTGATACTTGCACCTTACGCCGCACTTGCTTTCACTCTCATGTACCCATGTATTCAACCATTCCTTTGAGCTTCTCACATTCATTAGAAACACCCCCCTTATATGGACATAGCAAAGATGAAAGGTCAAGATACAATGAGTGTAAAACAAGAAGGTACATGAACAAGTAATAAAAGGTACATAACTCTCCAATAGACACCTTGAGACTTCAAAGCACTCACTTGAGAATTCAATCCATCCACATTGCAAATTTGAACCTTCCCAATGGGTAGTAAATCTCTAATTTGCACCAAAACATCCTGAAAAAAAAAAAAAAAAATAAAAGGCTTCACTAGCAGTAGCACCAAGAAGCAAAACTACAAGTATAACATAAGATCAGAAAAGATTGAGGGCCACGCCGTGGCATGGCATGCGGGCCGAGGTCGTGGCATGGCATTCCGGCCTTGGCATGGTGGGCAATGCCGTGGCAAGGCATGCTGGGCAACGCTGTGGCATGGCATGCGGGCCGAGGCCGTGGCATGGCAAGTTGGCCAACGCCAAGGCATGGCACGCTGGGCAACGCCGTGGCGTGGCATGCTGGGTAACGCCGTGGCAAGGCATGCGGGCCGAGGCCGTGGCAAGGCATGCGTGCCGAGGCCGTGGCATGGCGTGCTGGCCGAGGCCGTGGCATGGCATGTTGGCCGAGGCAGTGGCATGACGTGCTGGCCAAGTCCGTGGCCTGGCATGCTGGGCAACGCTTTGACATGGCGTGCTGGCCGAGGCAGTGGCCTGGCATGCTGGGCAAGGCGGTGGCATGGCATGCTGGCGAAGACTGTGGCGTGGCATGCTTGCCAAGGCCGTCGCATGGCATGCTGGCCAACGCTTCTGCATGGAATGCTGGCTAAGGCAGTGGCCTGGCATGCTGGCCAAGCCAGTGGCATGGCACGCTAGCGAATGCTAAGGCATGGCCTGGCTGGCCAAGGCTGCAGCCGCCGCACCACTCGTCCCGTAGCGTCAACAATCCCCTTGGGCAACGCTGAATTTCATTTCGCCGCGCATGTGAATCGTTTTCGTGTCTCGAGGTGCGCACTATGTGCTCTCGGACCTCCGCAGCTGGACAAAAACCGGAGGGGAGGGACGAATCGGAGCGACGCAGGACTGAATCTCAGTGGATCGTGGCAGCAAGGCCACTCTGCCACTTACAATACCCCGTCGCATATTTAAGTCGTCTGCAGAGGATTCTCCCCGCCGCTCGTGATAGGAATTGTACTTCAAGGCGGCCCGCGTGGCTCGTCCGCCGCGCGGGCTTCACCAACGACACGTGCCTTTGGGGGCCGGACGACCCCTACTGCGGGTCGGCAAGCGGGCGGCGGGAGCGTGCGTCGCTTCTAGCCTGGATTCTGACTTAGAGGCGTTCAGTCATAATTCAGCGCACGGTAGCTTCGCGCCACTGGCTTTTCAACCAAGCGGGATGACCAATTGTGCGAATCAACGGTTCCTCTCGTACTAGGTTGAATTACTATTGCGACGCTGTCATCAGTAGGGTAAAACTAACCTGTCTCACGACGGTCTAAACCCAGCTCACGTTCCCTATTGGTGGGTGAACAATCCAACACTTGGTGAATTCTGCTTCACAATGATAAGAAGAGCCGACATCGAAGGATCAAAAAGCAACGTCGCTATGAACGCTTGGCTGCCACAAGCCAGTTATCCCTGTGGTAACTTTTCTGACACCTCTAGCTTCAAATTCCGAAGGTCGGTCTTTGCCGGTGGAACTCCGGCGTGTGGTGACCACGCGCGGCCAGAGGTTGAATATGACCATTTACAATAAAGCAAAAGTAATGTTTAAATATTTATTTAGGGAATATATTTCATATAGAGTGGTTGTGGTATAGTGGTTGGTGTGCATGGATTAAAGGTCATGGGTTTGAGGCTTGGGGGTGCAAGAAGAGAGAATTATTTTTTTAAAAATTTGAACCTATTTATGGCGGTAAAGAATCTCTGTTTTTGGTCCTATTATTGTCGTTTTTGGTCGACTTTTAACAACGGTAAATTATCCTTTTACGATGGTTGTACCTTTTCCGACACGAGTATAAACGGCAGTTCTAAATTACCACTGTTAAAGACTTTAACAACGATTTTACATCCTTTAACGACGATAAAAAATCACTGTTAAAACTTAATTTTGGCGTAGTGGATGATTGTGAAAGTCAATACTTCTGTGATGATTTTTCTGAAGAAATGTGTGTTGACTTTTATTTGTTTATTGTTAATTTTCACTTTTCAGAGTCTTTTTTGGGTGAATAACTTTTCAAATGTTAATATTCACTTTTCAGAGTCACACATGAAATGCTGACATTTTCTTGAGCATGTGAGCCAGATCTTTGCTTCAACAACACTACTCTTTCGAACATATTATTGGGGTGTTTGGCAAGAAAAAAAATAGTCTAGTTTAGGTTAAAATTTATAAAAAGATAAAATAGGCTAAAATAGTTAATAAGACAAAATATCACATCAAATCCATAATCATTTTACTTTTTCTCTCACACACATCACATCTAACCATAAAAAAATCTAATCATCTTTCTAAATACAAAAATTTTAACCTATTAAAATAACTAAAAATTAAAATAGCCTATTAAAATAGCCACTTCCCAAACGAGGCCATTATGTTTAAAACTTTCACAGCCCCTCCACTAGACACTTCAACAACACAAAATCCAAAATTTTATACGGTTTTTTGCTTAATCCTTTTTTTTTTTTTACAATAATTTTTTTTCTTTTAAGTTATGTTTAGAATTTGGGAAGGAATATATGAAAAGAAAAGAAAATGAAAGGCAAAATTTTTTAAACTTATTTTTACGAAAGGGATTCATGAATTTTTTTCACTAATTCTTTTGTTTGTTTTATTTTTTATATGATTATTTCTTGAAGTTCTCTTTTGTAGCTGATGGATGGGATTAGCATTCTTAGTTCTAAGATTATGAATCCCTTTGAATTATGTATCTTACTTCATGTTTGGATTGTCTCAGGATTGTGAGGAGGGTTTGATAAAATTATATTAGTTTTGTAATTTATCTAATTAGTATGAACCTCTTCTTAATTTTTCATTTGATATCCCACCCCTCTGTTGGGATTCAATAGGATATGAGGGAATCCTATGTCCAATGGATGGTAATCAGAATCTTAATTTTCTTAGCTAAATTTTAAATTATGTATTTTGTTAGGTTATTAATCTAATTCTAACATCATGTATGCCCAAGCAAACACAACATTAATGAAATGCTTGATTCCTGATGGAACGAGCCCACCAAACCCCATTTTTTAGTTCATTCCCAATTTAGGGGTGCAACTTGACCGGATTCGGTCGGGTTAAGAAGTTGTCCAAGTCCAGTTCAAATTGTACTGAGACTTGTCCAGACTTGAATTGTAACCCGAGGTTGTCTGTCCAAGTCCAATCCCAGTTGAACTCGAATTGGCCAAATTGTGAATGAATTTCAAATTTTTTTTTGGTTGCAGCCACATTATTATTAAATTATTAAAATTTGACTCCATACAGAATATATATCAATCAATACAATCAATCAATAATATCAATAGATACATTTATTCTGTATTTCTCTCTTCATACATTGATTTTATCACTGTAGACCTTAAGATCAAATAATGACCCTTATGTGTGTCTATATAGCCATCTTCTGATAACCCCTTCTTCTTTTGAGAATTTGAAATCATTTTGAGACTATATGAAAGAATAAAATGTTAATGATACTATTATTTAAAAAAAAAAATCGTGAACAATATCTAGGAGGTGTAAAAATATTTTAAATTTGTAAAATGTACATTCAAATTATATATTTTCTATTTTGTTTTCCTTTACTAGAATGACACGGAAAGGAAAATAGGTGTTCGGTTGATTTTTTAAAATTTGTTCTCTATTTAAAACAAAGAAATAATAAAACTAAAAATAATTTGGAATATAAAATAAATAAATAAAATATTAATCATTTATATGATTTTTAAAAATTCGTTTAAAAACAATTTTTGCAAAATAAAACAAAACAAATCAAAATCTTCCAGGCAAGGCAACAGAGGCCCATTGGGCCGCGGGCTCAGAGTTTGGGCTCGAGAAGAAAACGAAGTCGTTCGGCTTGGTCTGCAGTGGCACGTGAGACACGCATTACGTTTTTTGCCCTTTATTTTATTCTCTCTCTTTTTTTTTGGGGGGGTGAATAAATTTTATTCTTACTTGTTTTGTCCCTGTCAAGGGTGTGACGTCACTAGGATGATGTCACTGATAATAATTAAGAAAAACATATCACTAAATTTTAAAAAATAATTATAAATTCATGATTAATTTTATATATTTTAATAATTAAAGTCATTATTTTTTTTATAAATCTATAATTATATTAAAATGATACTATTGATTTGTAAATTCCCCTAATAATTATATCCCACTCGAAATTGTACCATCAAATACTTAAACCAAAAGGATAGTATGGTTTTTATCAAATTATCATGTGAAATCCTAATAAAAAATAAGTAGGGAATATGGGGAAGACATTATTAGATGCGGTTGTGCACCATTTTAATGGGTGATACGGTTAGAAGATTATTTTATTTTATTTTGTGTGTAAGAGAAGGATTAATTTTATTTTTATTTTATCAATTATTATTATTTTTTATTTTATCTTTAAATCATTATCTATTTAGTTTCTAAATTTTCTAATTGTAATTCATATAGTCCAGTTGGAGATAGTCAATCCAAATCATTAATTAGGGAAACCTAACTTTTAATGGGTAAAAATATAATTTTATGATTTGAACAATTATATAACCAAAAACCTAACTTCTTATCTTCTTACTCATATTATACTAGGTAACTTATATCATATAACCAAATATCGATCTTTTTCTATACAATAAATTATTGCATGGGTCAGGAAGACCACACGTCTATGTATCTATTTAATGAGATCATATTATTTTTTCATAAGTCCCTTACTTTTAACGCCATGTAATTTTTAAGTCCCCTTCTATTGGTTTGGCATACTACCAATGTAAAATTCATAGAATACATGATAATTACTCACTCTTATACACTCCTAGTTTAAAAACCGTGAATAAATTATTTTTTAAAAAAATTGTATGATTTAAGTTGTTTAGATTTTAAAATAAATTTTTTTAGCCATGAAATTAGGTTTTAACAATTGCTTGTGTGGATGATTGTCTCCAATTGGAGTATATTAGTTGAAATTATTAACTTTTAAAATTAATAATTCAATAACAAAATAGAAAAAATAATGATAATTTAGGAAATAAAAATTGAAATTAACCCTTCTTGTGTGAGAAAAAATACTTGCTACAGCAATAGAAGTGACAATTGATAAACCAATGCCC